TATCTTGTCTGTCAGACTGATTCAACTAAGGAGTAGTGGTTTCTCTTAAAACAGCTGAGAGCGTATATGGAAGAACTGTCATAGCAATCAGTAGTCTGAAGTAGTCAATTGCTAAATGTATTCTCTTCCCCACCCCCTAAATATAGTAATCCCACCTTATACACAACTTCTGCTTCTTCCACACTTACACAAAAACTTTATGGTCAACAACTAGAACACTAAGTAATACTCCCCTCCCGCCTTCATAGGGTTGCTTCTGGCCCACAGGACACAAGGTAATGATCTCTATTTCAGTTTCTCCATTTCCTGCCCTATTTCCTATCACTGTATTCTTCCAACTCTCCACCTTGCTAGGTTCTTCCCATCCTATCAAACCATAGGATTCCTGTCCCACAAGAGAAAATCTGACCTAAAAGTTTTCATTATGGGGAATCACATCATATTGAAAGACATGTTGTGGGCCTACTGATGTTCAGGGCTGCATCTGCACTGCTGAAATAATGCAGTTGGACACTACTTTAATTGACATGGCTCAATGCTATGGAATACTGGGATTTGTAGTTTGCTGAGGCACTAGAGCTCTCCGACAGAGAAGGCTAAATGGCTCACAAAACCAGGATCCCAGGATTCAATAGCAATGAGCCATGGCAGCTAAAGTGGTGTCAAACTGTGTTATTTCTGCAGTGCAGATGCAGGCCAGGAGGTTCTTCAGGGCATAGCCAGGGCCTAAGGACATGACAGAACATACATCCTGACAGGGACCCATTCACACTACATAATTATAGCACTAGCATACCCTCCAACTGTCCTGATTTGGCATGTAATGTAATAATTTTATTCGGTCATTGACCAGTATAGATTTGGCATGGATAGTCCTGATTAATCATCTGTTATCCCACTTACCCAGCTGCTTTCAAAATGTCCTAATTTCTCTTTCATCCTCACACTTCCACCTGTTGTCTTAACCTTATTTCAGTTGCTGTAAATACAGCTCAAAGTCCACCAATAGTTTACATTAAATTAACCCAGCATTGGAGGAGAGTAGAAGAGGGTCAGAATCTTGCCCTTCCCAGTAGGTTCATGCAAAAATAAATTGCTGCAGCATTTCCTAACTTATGTGTTCTTTCTTATTAATATTTTTCCATTCTTAGCTACAATCTGATGTTGCTTGGCCACATGTGTCCCAGTTTTCATCTGGGAAATGTTGAAGGGTATGTGCCACATTTAACTGCCATGGCTCCATCCTATGTAATCCTGGGATCTATAGTTCTCTGAGGCACTGGAATACTCTAACTGGGAATTCTAAAGATGCCTTCCTAAACTGACAGTCCCAAGACTCCACAGGACTGAACCATGGTATTTAAAGTGGAATGATAGCACTATGATTCTGTACTGTGAATGGGTCCCTGGTTTGTCACTAGAATTAGACTATCAAAACAGATTTAATTAGGCAGCTCTTTGCTTCAAGGATAGAGAATGCTGTTCATGTCCTCCTAAACCCTACAGACCTTATAAAGGGGGCTTTTTGAGCCTAGTGTTCTCCCTGTGTCTCAGAAGGACCCACTCTACAGTTAGCAGAGTTGATTTCCTACTGCTCAGAAATCTCTGCATTTTCCTAAGATGTGCTCATATTTTTCTAATTTCACCAGCCAACTAGGAGAAATGTAAGAAACCACACCATTAGGAGCTGTCACAAAGATGTATTGCATTGGTCACAGTGCAAACTTGATGCTGAAGAAATGTTTAGTGAAGATAAGTACAAACAGGGCCACAGGACCTCAAGAAGGGGCCCCATGTGAGATTGCTAGATTTGAGGGCACTGAATTTGCTTGGTCCGCTTGCAATGCAACCAACGCAAACATGCTACAAAAATGAAACTGGATGTGAGAAGAGGCAATAAAAGAATTGGCAAGCAAAGAGATTGCAAAGGATCACTGAGGTGGAGAAGCAGAATGTATTACAGGTTGAGTCTCCCTTATTTCGAATTTCAAAATCCAAAATTCTCCAAAAACCAAAAAGAAATTTCATAGGTGGCTGAGATAGTGACACCTTTGCTTTCTGATGGTTCCGTGTACACAAACTTTGTTTCATGCACAAAATTATTAAAAATATTGTATTACTTTCAAGCTATGTGTATAAGATATATATGAAACATAAATGAACTTGGTGTTTAGACTTGGGTCTCATATCCAAGCTCTCTCTCTCTCTGCAAATATTGGTGTTTCAAAAGCCAAAAAAAATCTGAAATGCAAAATACTTCTGGTTCTAGAAGTGGGATAAGGGAGATTCAACCTGTAATAGAGATGATAGGATAGGGAATTCCTAACAAGAGGAAGAGGCTCATCAGCCAAACAGGTCCCCAAGCAAAACGAGTTTGGGAAGTAATTCTTAATGCAGCCTTCCCCAACCTACTACCCTGCAGACATGTTGGACTACAAGCCCCATCATTCCCAGCTAGCATAGCATGGATGTTCTG